GCAGAGCTTCGAGGAAACGTTTCTGAGCCTCGGCCCTGTGCCAGGCCCGGACAAAGGAACGCCTAGCGGAGGTGTGGTGGCAGGGTCGGGGTGGCGGTCCAACAAGCTTTAGTCAGTCAACGCTGCCAAACATCCTATCCTACCATTTTCAGTTGCCCATGTAGGTGTTGTGCGAGTGATGCTTTTCACCAATTCGGTTCCAGTGTGATCAATGTGTACTCCCAGTCTGCCTCGCTTTCCGTGGGACTGTTACCTTATCAGAAAGGAAGTTGTGACAGTCAGGATCAGGGAACGAGCAAACCACAAGCATGTTGAACAACCCTGATTCAAACAAAACCAACAAAGGGCCTCTATCTTTGCAGGCCAGTCATATGTGCTTTGGCAAGACCTTCCTTGTGCAGCCGCGCGTTCGTTTGCCACACTGGAACTCTCCGGCATGAAGGAGGCACAACCGAAGCTCCAAACCAAAACCCGCAAAGAGCTCAGCTCGAGTCACGAAAATTGATCGGAGCCGTCCAAAGACTCTCCCAGTTGTTGTGCAGCCCTTTCTCCCTGGTTTTGGCGGCTTCAGGACTGGAAGTTGTCAAACCGAGCAAACGGAATTAGTTCACATTTTGTTCCAGCTGTTCAGGCCAGTCAGTTCACCGTGGTTCTGCGGGAAGTGAGTGACAGTTCCCTGGTCACTGGTTTGATGCTTGCGTATGTTGCAGCGAGAGACACACGGACAAACACACCCACACACCTGCCCACCTGGAAATTTATCAACATGGTGAACCCCTGCTGCTTGGTATTCGAAGGGAAGCCTAAAGGAAGCCGCCCATAGCAGTGACCAAAGACCGGTTTCCTGAGACACAGGACCGGAAGCAGTCCAAAGAGTACTGGGCCAAGCTGCGAAAGCTGGATGCGGAAAGGGCGGGGAAGGCCAGACAGTTGGACCAAAGTCTGCGCTCCTTGAAGAGTTTCTCCTATGATTGACAGGGCATCCATCCCAACTGGTGCTTTTGTTCATCCACAGTATCATCAGATGGGTCCAGGTGGCAAACGATGCGGGACCCAAGATAGTGGTTGTCCTTTTGAGATCCTTTGAAACCAATCCGACAAGGGTACACTTAAAAACGCGCACACTGATGCTCAGTGGTTCTCATTTGAGCGGCGGCCTTTGGCCGCAAGCTAATTTTGTAGGGAGAGGGACCTTATATTGAAAGTGTGCATCGCGCCACACGCGCGGAAGCATGCGGAAGGCTTCGCGGAAGGGATTTGTCCGCGGAAGGTTTGCGACTGATATGAAATTTAATGTTTCAGTGCGTGCAGTAGAAGGAAAAAGGTGTTGCAGCGTCCAAGAACGCAACGCTTAGTCGAAGAGCAGTTGCCAAAAGCAAGCCAAGAAGATCAAAGCAGCCGGCGTATTTTGCGGAAGCTTCGCGGAAGCTCCGCGGAAGCTCCGCGGAAGGGTGGCTCCGTGTTTGCAGGCAAGTGGCCAGGTAGCATGGGTAGCCCAATGGAGCCCAAGCCTACACAGGCTGCGGCGAAACACTACCTTACTTAAAATTTAATGACTTTCCTTTCTGCGCCAATACTCGCGGGAGCTTATCTGGGATTTCATGCGCCGCGGAAGGTTTGCGGAAGCACACAATGAAGCACATGTGCTGCGGAAGTTCGCGGAAGGGACCTCTCGGCCTGCGGCAAGGTTGCGGAAGGGTCCGCGGAAGCTTGAATAATGTCCAAGCAAGTTTGTAGGGAATAAAGCCAACGCTCATTTGATTCCTTGCGGGTTGGCTCCCTTTAAACCTGTAGCCGTGAACGGCTGTTTCATTCTGTTTCGGGATCCGCCTTTGAAGAATACGGGGTTTCTGAACAGAATGATAAGTGAAGAGAATCTGGAGTGAAGCCTCAGAACCATGGTGGCTGTTTCCCTCCCTTCAAGACAAGGGAGTGAGTAGGTACTCCCCTCTGACATCCAAGTCGCCCAATTTTGAAAGTTATGTCCCAGAATAGGTGAATTGTACAGACACCCACGCAAAAGGACCCAACACCCCCCTCAGAGTGCCAACCCAATTGAGGGGGGGAGGGGGCAGGGCACCTGAATTTCCAGTGGATCAAAGAGTACTGTTGAAACTTTGTCAAGAAGCCCTTAGTTGATGAATCGTGGCACAGAACCAGCGAGCACAGAAATCGCGACACGCAATTCAGTCCGCTGTTTACCTGTTTGCGCCTTTGGTTGGTCAAACAGGCTCCAGCAGTGTGCCGGATGCCAAGGTTTCCCTACATAGCCTTTAGACTTTCCAAGTGCAGGCACCTGCTGCGCAGGAGCGCGGGCCCCAGTTGGCTTAGGACTACAACTGGGGGCAATGGGGCCATGGGCTCCCCTGAGCAGTGCTCATACACCCAGCCACCCAGCAGCTACCCACCCCTGTGCACGAACTTCTGCACACTACACCAGGCACCTTTAGCCCCTCGAAGAAAAGCAAAGGGCCTGACCTGAATTTGAGCAAAATGCAGCAAGACCCTGAAGTCTGACATGTTACAAGCACCTGGTTCTTTCGATTCGTTTTGTGCCCTTTCCCTATTAATCTCTTCCCCCTTGTATTAAACCCGGACCCCCCCCCTATTAGTAAATCAGCCTCGGGACAAAACATATTTATTAATAGGGTGTTGTTGGGTCTGATGGGCCCCCTGGAGACAAAGATACTCATCCCTTGAAGCGGGCCCAAAATCAATCTTTTCAAATGGCTTGTAGCACAAACTTTGAGAGGGACAGACGTTTGGCATTTGATTTGTTTGGGCCAGCACAGGAACGCAAAGGCAATGCAGGTAGGACAGTGAAGCCCCTCTGTCTAAATAGAATTTGGTGCAAAACAACACCCTCAGCTTGTTGTTGGGTTGTTGCAAGTAGCTTGGGTCCTGGACTAATTACCCACCCCCTAATAAGGCTGGAGCTGGTCTGGGTGAGACATCCGAGAGAGTTTAGTATTGGTTTTGAATTGGCCTATTTAAAAGTAGTATTGGGGACCCGGCGGTCTGGGAAAAATAGTATTTATTAATAGGGTCCGTTTATGAAAAGGGGGAAGAAACTATGGGACAGTATTGGTTTTGAGCTTGCGTTTGCGCTGGTGCATGGATGTTGCTTGAAATAGGGGCCGCCTCCCTGCCGGTCGGTTTGCAAAGAGAAAAAGAAGGTTCACCCACTTGTGGGGTCTCTAATCTTGGACCATTTGCGAGATTTGCTTAGAGGGTGGTAGTGGTCATTCTGCCTTTAGTCAGGATTTCAGAGAATGAGAGGGACTCCGATGAAGGGAACTGGCCACTTGGAGGTCGGGAAAAATTGAGGGACTGTCTCGATGCCTGAGGTCCACGGGCCTTTGGACAGAGCAGCAAAAGGTTCAGGTGGGCGGTTTCTGACTCGAAGGGCGAGTGGAGCTGGGCGGCCCGAGGTTGACTTGGTTTACAGCTGGGTGAACATGGCTACGAGATCTCTGCTCGAAAGGTAAATGGCAAAAGCAAAGTGTCAGGGTAAGTTGCGTGACCTTTCATCCCGGCATGGATCGAGCTTGTGCCAGCAAGCCAGAGAACGCACAGATGACCTTGCGATGTTGCAGTGTTGTCAGGCGTCTGCGGTTGTGGCCCCGAACGGGGATAAACGGTGTACACCATCGTGCTGGGCACATCATGGTGCCACCTAGCCTTCAGGAACATCATTGTTTGTCACGTGTCCTCAAGGATATGCCCCCTAAGGTTGTAACACATTACGCACGGTTGATGGCGCTAGAGCGAGAAAGATACACAAATAGCAATGCATGGCTTCTTGACCACCAAGAGCACGATGCTTCTGACATACAAGGGCAACACCTTTGAGCGCATGGCATTGGTGATGTGCCGTGGTCGGTAGCGCGCCATAAGTCACAACGGTGTTTGTCACGTACACCTGAGGCATTTCCCGCAATGACTTGAGAATTGTCTAGTTTTGTTGACGACATATTATGCGTGTTAAACATGGGTAAAATGTGTTTGTGGTTTAAAGGTCCACCAAAGGGAATCACATTTTTGAGAGTCCCTATTGTGGCACATACCCGTATCAGCTGTTCGCAAGTTGGCTTTTACCTGCTGCATGAGTTGAAGTATGCGGGGTTCCGGTGCATGTTCTGGGTGAACGACTACGCATGCCTGCATGCAGGCGTCAAGATGAGACTACCCGAAACATTCACCAAGCACTGTCGAGATGGTGCCCTAAAGTTCTTGGCTGCTCGTTTGGGACGCACCGCACATGTGCAGGATGTCCAGGGGTATCAGGTATAAGTGGCAACTCTGGCTGCCTCCAACAAGCTTGTGGCCTCTTGCATTTTTCAACCAGTAAGGTTCTGAAATCAGAGCCATGCGAAAGGGGCCAGGCCCAGACTCTGAACTCGGTCGCAACCGCGGCTCAAGACTTATAGGAAAACTGCAAGGCTCGCTGGAGTCGTGCAGATTGGCAGCCGGTCTCATGCGACTTGTTCCCACAGCTCTGTCGTCCAGTTTGAAAAGGGTTCTGCTCATCGACTCTGTTTTAACCACCAAAAATAAGGAAGAAGCAGTTCGTGGATGCCCCATGCCACTGGCGAAATGTACACCGTTCTCCCTTACATGAATCTTCCTTAGCGGCACTCTTACGGCCAGCGATGGCAGCGATGTGCCATCCGGTTCGCCAGCATGTGCAGCCACATATCCCAAATACTGACATTGAATATCTCAGGGTTCCTGTCTCGGAACATAGCCAGAGCTGGTCGGTTCTGCTGGTCTGCCTGGCCCTACTTGTTACCTTCCGAGTTTCTTCTACTAGGTCCCCCAGTAGTGCCCTTTTACCCTTTTTGGGGGGAGGGTTCCCCTACTAAAATGGACTACAAAAAAGGGTACCCTTGTTCTAACCTCTCTACTGGAGGGCCTAAGCTTATTGTTCAGATCTGGCTCTCAGATTGTCACAACTTTGAGCTGTTGCACGCTCGCATGCCGTTGTGAGTGCCTTCGCAATGGCGGGGCGAGGCTTTGCTGAAGGATGGGCATGGGACCTCCACACTCCAAGCCGCGTCCTTTGGTTTACTTGAGAGCTAATTCAGTTCAAGACGGGCTTCTTTGATAAGCGCGGTCATATCAACGAAGATTCCGAGGTTGGCACTAGACAAGAGTGAATGGGTTTGGGGGGGGCAGTGGATAGCCGCGAGACGAGTGCGCAAGGCTTTGCTTAGCTATGATCTGGGTGTTTCTGAACATTAGGAACCCTTTCGGTGGTTGGTTCCCTTTGGGTTTCCCCGTGAAACCATCCAGAAACAGGACCCCAACAACATTGCGCCACGTCGTTTCTCATGCAAACTGGTGGGTGGTTTTCGGGAGTTGGTGCAGTTTTAGGTTAGTGCAAGGGGAAACCTACCAAAAAAACATTTGGGATCCCCCATGTATTACAGCAAAAGCCGAATGTCAGTTTGGCCCAACGCCAGATTCTCACTCGCCTTTTCGCGCTTGCGAAAGATGAAGTGAGGGACCGCAGAGGTGGTCGGGCCTGGAAGTTGCTTTGCTAAGGGGCCTTCGTTACTGGCACTTCATTGAGTTGATATCCGCCCATGTCGGGCGTCCCTTTATGGGAGCCCCTTCCTCCTTGCAAGCCTCTCATGCTTAAGCCTGGGGTGACAGGCTTGGAACTCTGCCAGGAGAGGCAAGAGTAGGGTCCACTTTGATTGACTCCGGCCCCAAACCAGTAAAATTGACCAGTGGCCTTGCAATCCGAGTCAACCCTGATGCCTGGTAGTTCTGAGCTGGTAGAATCTGGTAGAAGTTGCCTTTCCGGGCCTGCGGCTTCGCGCATTGGTACGCAGGAAGGGGATTGGGCAAGATATCAACTTCTTGCAAGAGGAAGCCGCTAAGCTCCGCTGTAGTGTGGCTACTATGGAGCACTTTGTTTCACTCTTTTGGGGGTGATTCTGCCACCATGCCACCAAACAAGGACACAATAGGCCGGTCTGACGAGGAGGTAATCCTGGTAGGCACTGTGCGTTTGAACCTAGCATCATGAGCAGAATCTTCATTTGTTGGCCCTTGCTCGCACAGACTGCAATGGTCCTGTCCTCTTAGAGGCAAAATGGCGTCAGTCAATTTGTTTGTGTTGGGCAGCGGCGTAAGCTTTTCTGTTGGGATAGCAATGCCCCGCAACGACACTGTTGGAGTATCGCCATTGACACATATTTGTCCCATGATGAAGCTCAGGAATGGTCTGCACGAAGGAGGTGGGGAATGCGGAGATGCGTCTTCCGGGCGAGCAAAACCTTATATGTTATCTGCAGCTGCATGTGGACACGGGTCAACAGAAACTGCTCGTGGTGTTGCAATGGGCTTCCTGGTTTGGGGTGCCTTCCGATAAGAGCGTTTGGGGTGCCTTCCGATATGAGCGTTTGGGTTTCAACGAATGAGCAGATTTACTTTGAGACCCAGAAGGCATTCAACCCGAGATTGAATTCATTGGCCCCAGGCATTCTTGGGCTAGCGGCTAGCCGTTCATTGGGTGGAAGTGGGAGGTGCGGCTGCCCTGATTTGTTGCATTGGCCTCCACGGAGTGACATCTTAGATCGCATTGTTGGGGGGCACTTCGCGGCTTGCAGGGTGTTCAGTTCGGATCGCCTTGTATATCTAGACCCTTGGGGCAAGTAATGAAGCCTTGCCCACATGTCGTCCCCGCGATTTGGGTCCGTGAGATTAATTTAGTCAGGCGACATGTTCTTCTCATGCAGGGTGCCGCACAATTAATTGCCTTATTGCGCAGGTTGTTCCGGATTGGAAGGCAGTTCCTCTTGCTCGATCGGCACCATGACATGTTTCAGCGCGAACGGCAGTCCGTTGGTACTGGCGTGTCTTGCTGCATTCAGGGAAGGGGGCAACAGCGCGCTAAGACTGCAATCCAGGCAGCCCTGGGGCGAGGGCGCTTATGAACCTTTGGAAAGGTGAGGCATGCTGTTCACAGGTCTGTTTTCTTCTTCCATTACCTTCCCGTGTTGCACATTTAGCAGTTGATTCTACAATAGCTTAATCCTTGTGAATCACCTGCGGGTCGAATTTCCAACTCCGTTGTGTGTTGCAAGAGTGGGTTTGGAGTGCGACAATTCGACCGCGAATGACTCAGCGACAACTTGCGGGATGCTAGGGAGACAGGGTTATGTTCTCTGAGAAGGCCCAAGAGGCGCACTTGTTGCCGTGGCAGTGTATATGTACACTATGCATTCTGACTGTTTATTAGTTATGTGTATACATATGTACATACATACGTACCCATGTTGCAGCCTTGTAGTCACGTTGGTACCACCGGAAGGAAGTTGGCTTTGCACACAGGTGTCAGAAGAGCTGCCGCCACTCGGCTAGCCGATCACAGTTGCATGACGGTTCCCGGCGGCATTTCTGAAATCAGCTTGTTGCTGCACTGGCCGAAAATGAGTGCTTCCGTTGGTTTTTCCTGTTAAATCGTTGAAACTGGTTTCGTGTTGGCCTGTCAAGGAAATTCACACTTTGGTCATTGGCGTGCTTTTTCTCGTGGGCCTTGAAGAGACTCTGTTTGGGGAGAGCTTGCGGGCCAGAGGCATGCCAACCAGCCACACACATGTGGGGGGGGGGGGTTGTCAAAACCATTTAGACTCTAGACCCTGGTGCCGCCTTATGCTTCATTTAACGAGGCTACCAAACAGGGGCCCGAATTAATGTTAACCCTGCCCCCTTGTGTAGCTTTGTGAATGTAAGGATTCATAGTGAGGCTGTTGTTTTCGCATGCTTTCGGGAGGAATGGTGCTTTTGGTTTGCGGCTGGGCAGGGTGCGTGGGGAGTCTCACAGTGATATCGGTATCATGGGGTGTGATTGCACGATGAATCTCATTGGTTCCCCTTTTGTACACAGGGTAAGCCACTGTTTTTCAGTGGGCCCCTATGTTGATTGAGAGACAGGTTTCCTGCCTGCAATGGTCTCTAGGCTTCCGTTTAATCTCTTCCCCCTATTAATGAATGACCCCAATTAATAAAAAATGGAAATCCGGGGCCCGGGACCAGATTTCCACTCCGCACAATTGATTTTTAATTGCGCCAGTACTAAACCAATACTAAAGTCTTGGAATCCTTATTAGGGGGCACTTTTAACAAGCTTCCAGCCCCACTTTTAAGCTGCGACTGTCCTTCCCCCGTACATGCTGGCTAACCTGCCTGGCTGCAAACAAACATCCAATGACAACCAGTAAACTGAAAAACAAATAGAATGATACATAACATTTCCTTATTACACCGCTTACTCGCGGACCTTACAATTCAATCCATTTCCTCCAAATCCTATGTGAACCCTCACATTGTTGGAAAAGCAAAAACATCCAACCCCAAAAACCCCAATTAAAAACAATACATTTTTGGGAGGATTTATTTATAATAGGGGAGGGGGGGGGGGGGGCGTACTTATTAATAGGGGGAAGATATTATTTGTTGAACCGCCACCCACCGCCCTTTTGCTCAGCGCGTTGATATTACAGACCCTTCGCCTCTTGCTATACACGTATCCCAGGTGTTTTTGTCCAGTTCGTTCCCCTCTATATGAGGCTGAACAACTCAAACAACACAAAAGGAAGATGTTGCCTTTCTCCCAGTCTAAAAAGTTTCCTTGCGTTGCGTGTCCCGGTTGCGACACGAATGACCTTCAACGAGAGAGGGGGGAGCAAAAAAGAAGTATCAAAGCAAAGAAAGACAGGGCAATCAAACGAAGAGCGGGACAATGGCAGAGCAAACGAGAGACGAAGCAGCAAGATGAAGAAAGATGCAAGGGCGCGAGGGAGAAGAATGGAAAGGAGCTTGGCAAGGGTTTCGACAGGTCAGATCGCACCGAGTTCAGGTCAGATCTCATCGAGATTCTGCACCGCTGCCATGCGCAGATGCAGCTTGAGCTAGCGCAGTGGCACCTTGCTCCGATTTGAGAAACGAAACCCCCAAACCACGTGAAATGACCCCAAGAGAAAACGGGAAGAACAAGAAACAACATAGTGGCCATACGTGGATGGTCCATCTTGTCCCTGGTGGCTTGGGAGTATAGTATATGTTTACCGGACCCAGGCCCGGTTGCTTTTGATGTTTATCGTTATTCCCATTTTTGTTGGAGAGGGTTTTCCTTTGACATCGACAAGCCACATAATGGGGCGATTGGCCGTTTTGATCAGCGAGCATGAATCAGACACCCCCCATAGGTGTGCTTTAAGGCTAGTTTTGTTGAAAGTTGATGGTGCTGACTTCATTTGCCTATTGCACCATATACTGCACTTCATACGTTTGGGAAGGCCAATTTGGCGTTCAACAAGTTTGGAGTTGGCCCGTCCACTCAAGAGCATTGTTGCTTTGGTCTCCGCCACTGGCTTAGCTATTTGGAAAGCAGGCACAGCATGGTCCATGGCCGCAGGTTTAACCAGAGCGTACCATCAGATCAGGCGACACCAAGCGACTTGGCGGCACGCTGTGCTGGGTCATCTTGGCAAAAGAATAACTGGGGAACTACCCCCTCGGATGAACCTGCAACCAAACAACCATGCATTTCAAGAGTGATCTCCTTTTGGGGTGCCCCCCGTTTGGCTTCCATCTGTTTTTGTGCTTGCCGGGGGTGCATTTTGCACATTTTCAGGCGCCGCACGGGATTCGACTCCCGCCATATCCGGGCTCGACCGGCTTGCAACAGACTGCAGTTATTCCAATGCCCGGACGCGGCTGTTTGCTGTAGCTTTGCCGCTGGGCCATTTCGACTTCCTGCTTTGCAAACTGCGAGGGCACGGACGTGTCGTGCAGGATGGTTAAAAACGCAGCGTTGGCGTTTTTGGTCATCGGTGCCAGTTTGAGTTACACTCTTTTGCTGGGCTACTTGTTCTCGTGCGTTGCTGCTGTTTCTTACCAACCAGCAGTCTCAATCCCTTGTCAGGATCACGCTAGGACATTTCCATGCAGTGACAGTTTGCGTGTTGTGCACTTGTTTTTGTTTTTTTTTTTTTTTTTTTGGGGGGGGGTGCAAGCTTGCCCAGAGCGCAAGTTCTGCACTTGCCACCTGTTGCGTTGGCATCCTGCAGGTTCAGACAAAGTGAACCATGCTTCCATGTGCTTAAGAATCTGTTGTATTTGTCCTAGTTGGTTTTACCTCTTCCTACTGGAAATTTCTTGTTCCAGCCGCCAAGCAAATGGAAGCAAGCCAGAGAGTTCGTGCTATGGGTCATTGCACGTTCACGACTCACCTTTCCGCCGAGGTGTGTGCAAAGCGGACGTGCGGGCCCCATTGGGCGTGATGGGAGATGGCACAGCGACGTGGGTTTGTGTGTTTCTTTTGTTGCGGGAACCCTTTTGGGGGTGGCTTACGAGGAAGCCAAAAGGAAGCCGACCCTTTTGGGGGTTCCCTTTTGCCAAGGGAACTTGGCAAAGTCCTGTGGATTGCTTACTTTTGTTTCACCGGGCATCAGCCGGGTTCCGCTTGCAGGCGTAGGATGTGGTCAAACATTGGAGGAACATGCAGGGTAGATGGAGGCTTGAAGTCAGTTGATCAGAGTGAAAGTACAAATTGTGCAATGGTGGCATCTTCTGCAAATGCATCAGCCACTTGGACTTTTATTTTCACATTGGCGGGGCATGTGGCTTTCTCCATGCTGTGGCTGCTGCCACCGCGTGGCTGCTGCCTCAGGAGTACGGCTGCCCAGAGACGCGCATTTCCAAGAGCCCCAATATCAGCAAGAGCGTCGGTGATGCAGACGAGGAGTGGGAAAGCGACTGGAGAGCTTCGCACGTAGCGTGCGGTGCTCCTGATTTGATGGCCCTAGCTTTAGCCACACGGAGTTGATGCTTCGTGTTGAAGATGAGTTCGTTGTTTTTGAGACCCGTCCTAGCAGCTTTTCACAGCTGTTGGAGGCATCGCCAGCAAACCAAGCGCATGAGGAAGCCCCAAGCTTGACACTTCTTCGCGCTGTCTTCTTTCCACACATTGTGTTCTTACAATTTAACACCCTTCCGGGGCGAGGCCTCTTTTTCCGTGCCGGGTGTATTCATTGTTTTGTTTTGAAGCGCCTATTCGCAACAAGCTTGGATACATGTCGCTCTTCTCATGATTGGGCAAGACTGCGGGACCCTTGGAAACTATGCAGATTTCCGCTAGCGGACTGCGCGGACTGAGTGGTTGGCCAGGAAGTGGACCCGAAAATCATGGGGAAAGTGCAACTAGACCGCCGCCGAGTTTGTTTGCCTTGGGGCGAGCCGTGTCAGCGCCAGGACTTCGAGAAGGAGAGGGTGGAGCCTGTCAGCGCGGGGCTGAGAAGTGACCTGTTTGATCTGTTTGCTTGTCCTTGTTTCTTCGGACACTGGCCATAGTCGACATTTTGAGGGGTTCTCCAAGCTACTTGGGGGGTATAACCATCATTAGTTTTGAGTATGCCACTTTCATGGACCCAATGGGAAGGCCGTGTGCCGGGCATGTGTTTATGTGACTTGGTTTTCTTCCTGGGCGACTGTTTCAAAGCAGGTGCGGGCCGAAAAACCACTTCTGAGGCAAACGACCGGAACCGGTTCGAAATTCCTAGCCTACGGGGCCTTGACTTTGCCAAGCCTGTCTACTTTCCATTTTTTCCAGTTGGCTAAACCAGAAAAGGCCGTGAGCATTCATGTGCACAATCTAGAGTCGAGACGCCACTGCTAAGTACAGATATGACACTTCAGATCAGAGCAATGAGTGTAGCTGCCTGCATGTGTTCTTCACAGCCTTTGCCCAGTCCGCCTGGCTTGCTTTACAGACCTGTCCCTTTTCCCATGGAATCAAGCAGCAAAACAAGAAACGACGCAGACGCAAATTGCTGTCCGTTAGCCTTCGTTTAGAACCTTCCTCATTATAAGAAAGGGCACCATAAAAAAAGGCTTGCTTTTGGGTGGCCGGACTCCACGATTTTTGTTTGAGGGCGGAACGTTGGATTTTCGGGGGTTTCGGCCCGAAAGCCTTTTTTCGGAGCGAAACTGGCGATGGACAAAACCAGGAAACATCCAGAAGTATGCGTGCAACAGCCAGAACCGTGCGTGCAACAACCAGAACCGTCCGTGCAAACGACTGTTTCTGAATTGACGGGTTTTCGGTCGCTTTTGGATGGGGCCATTGGGGCGACCACTCCTTTTTAACAGCACAAGCCTCCTTTATAAAGCTTGGAAAGGGTTGTTTGCGAAACCTGAAAGACACCCATTGGGTGCGTGAGGGAAGAGTGATTTGACCCACTGCCAAAGCCGCTCAACTATAGTGTTCTCGCCAGGGCTTTGGGGTGATAAGCAATGTCCGTCGACCCCACAGATGCTGCTGATGCAGGCGGTATGTGGCTCTGCCCGCGGAAACGAAGGGTCTTGAAAGTGTGCAATTCGCACAGCCCCTTCTCCATGCCTTTCCCTTTTGCAAGAAAGCCTAGAAGAGAAAACAAAGGGATCAGTGCATTTCAGACTGCTGCGACACTCTTCAGGCCTAGCGGGTTGGCCGGGCAGGGTTGGTGCCAGTCTTGCAGGGACGCAAGTCAATCGAGGCTGAGAAAGATTTGCCCTACACAAAGTACAGAAAATGGTGGTCAAGCCAAACGGCCGGAACTGCAGCAAACGACCGAAACTGATAATGCATGTTCTTACGACTGTTTAAAAACGCGTGTTTCGGGCTCCAGGTTGGAATGAAATATGGGCTTTTGAATGCTGCGAGTGGCGCTCCCCTCGGAAAGGGGGGTGCCAAAGCTACGTAGGATCCTGGAAACCCACAAGTAACGTTTTTGTTCTGTCCATATGGCTCGCCCCCCCCCCCCCCCCCCCAAATTGGTCATACGGTTATTTACGATTGTTTTTTCAACATTCTGTTGAACAAATATGGGTTGCATAAAGCCAAGTAAATACGGCCACCGCCCAGAGCGAAATGACCATGCTGGAAAAACGATCCAAATACGGGTTCCGTCAAAAACATGGCCATACGGCTTTCCAGGATTTTGTTGTAATTTCTTTGGCTGGGAATTTGCCTGCAGGCAGCTTGGACAATGCGAGTCGCCCCCCTCCCAGCCAACCTTGCAAATTGCATGTTCCAGCCTTGAATGGTGTTCGAATGAGCTCCGTTTGCGGTTGGCGAAAACGCCAAAACTTCTTCGCAACTCCGGCACCATCGCAAATTCGGGGCGTGTCGCATGGCGTGTGGGGCGCGGAACGCTCGAGGAATGAGCTCTAGGTTCTCCAAGAACGGCAGCTTCTGCCGGGGTGGAAGCTCGCCGGGGTGCCAAAAGCTTGGACGTCGGTGTGGGTCTTTGGAGGATACCCTTACGGTTGGCTCAAAGGGACATCAAAAGAAAACCACAAGTTTGGGGGGTATATCTTCATGGCCGCTCATCCTGTTTCTAGTGGAGTCAGTTGGAGTCCTTATTTCCAGTTGGTGAAGCATTGTTATTTGTCCGGAGGTATGGAGATCACGCTCCCGCAAGGGTACGGGATTTATAAGGCAAAACCCGTACATCCAAAGTTCATACCGGAAACTTGTGCTGTGGGGGTGGGAGGAGGCGGCTATTTGAGCAGGGCCAGGGCCCAAAGTCCCTTTTTCTCCCAAAAACAGTCCCCCTGTTTGGAGATTGGCGGTTGTAGATCTAGAGTTTTTCCATCCACTGTTGGGAGGGGGCAGGGCCCAAATTTGCTCCCCAAGGCGCAGGTGTTCGCCAATCCTCCGATTCATGTCGTGGTTGTTCATAACAAGACATGCCCTCCCCACAACTATTATGTGGGGCAACCTAGTTTATTCGCTCGTTCTTGTGCATCTTACGTATTAAGTTGTCTCGTGAGCTGTTATTCACACATAGGTGCGCTATGTTCAACTTGTTCATTTGCACAGCCTGGTATGGCCTGGTTCTTGCGCACGCAGCCGCCAGGACCCAGCAAGAGTCGGCACCTCGCAAGTCCCGGTGGCTCCACAACGACGAGGACGGATTGGAATTCGGAGTTGAAACCCATGTAAGAATTCCCAAAACCGCAAAAGGGCCAGTTTAGTAGGTGGTTCCTACTACTACTACTACTACTACTACTACTACTACTACTACTACTACTACTACTACTACTACTACTACTACTACTACTACTACTACTACTACTACTACTACTACTACTACTTGGTTTGATTGGAGTTTAGTAAGCCTTATAAATGTTTACAACCGTGTTGATAGAACAATGTAAAGTATGTAAAGTCTGTGGAAAGGCTATCGTTTTCGGTGTGCTCCAGATGGCCCAGGTAAGGTCTTCAGCATGGTAAGGAGTTCTAACTCATTTGCGCCAAAGCACCAAAGCATACGTGGAGCATCCGAGGAACCCATTTGTTCGAGCCATTTCACTTGGCCACCCAAGTAAGGAGCTTTTTGCGGGGGCCGAGTGCTTTGAGAATCCCAACGCAAAAGAAGGACAGTTGAGCTTTTCTTGGGCTGGGTAGGGTGGGGTGGGGCGGCCGTGTCACTCCCCGCTTAGCGCCAGGTGCAGTTGGAAAACCTGCGGAAGCGCGGCAACGGGGGCGAGTCCAGCGACTTGCGGAAGGAGCGGCTCCCTAGTGGCTGGTGAGGTCTCTGGAAGAGGCATTTTTGCTGCACAGTTGGTCTCACCGATGAGAGGGACCTCTTTGAAGGGAAGTTTAAGCAATGGGTGAAGTGGAAGGAGGCAAGCCGCGACACCAAATAGTATCGAACTGACCCGGCAGGGCCACACCGCACGTCAAACGAGGCTTGGCATACGGAACCGTGGTCAGCATTGCTTTAGCATTAAAGGGTCCCCCGATACAACTAGAGTTTGGGTCGGAGGGGAAATCGCTTGTGTCGTGGCCAATCTATCAGAGCTTTGGATGTTTTAGTGGGGGTGCAAAAGGCGGGGCTTCAGCGAGGTTTGGGAGATGTCGATTTATGTATCCAGGGACCTTCCCTCAGTCATAGAAGCTGGATATGAGGTTTTGGAAGACTACGTTCCTTTTGTCCGCTGCAAATGCTGTTGAAGGGTCTGAACTATGACGCACTCTCCCTCATTCTATCTGCGAAGGAGAGAAGACCGAAGCGCGCCCACAACATCTTCCGTCGGTGCATTGAGAACCCCTGGTTTGACCGACGCCTGGCCTCGAGTTGGGGCGTGGTGTCGGCTGGCATGATGACATGCACAAATCCACAGGAAATAGGGGCTGAGCTGCAGGAAGACTTACGTCGTCGAGTTGGCAACTTGACAAGAATTGAAGTTCGATAGGACTCCAAATGAGCCTGTTTTGCTCCGCCCTCGCACGGGTCACTGCCTCAGGTTTGTTCTTTCCCGTGAGCGGTCCGTGGAGGCTAAAGGGAGCTGTGCGAGTCCGGAGGGTTGGAGGGTGAGTTGTCCCTGGCCGGTTCGGTCAGCAAAACGAGGACGCCACTCCAATAGTTTATTTGTTTTGTGTTTGTTTTTTTTTTAATGAGCCGTGGCCAACGCTTCCACTAAGTCCAGCAAGCTCTTTTGCTCAGCAAGCCTTCTCCAAAAACGACATAGCCATGAATTGTCCACGGGTTGCTTCCCTTGATCCCAGGATTCTTTGCTTTCATGATCATCGCCAGCTCAGTGGCCGTCGGCGCAGAGGTGGAGTATTCAGCCACTGGACCTGAGCAGAGCACGTCTGCGGGTGTTGTCGTTTGTTGAAAGAGATTTCGCGCCTACATCGCAACTGAATTTAGTCAATGAGCAGGAGAAACACAGCCCGACTCAGCTATACATTTGAAGCTTTTGTCGGATCTTGAGAGGGGTGCCAAAGACTGCCTACTTTTGTGTTTCCGTTTTGAGAGGTTGGTGCCGGTGCATTGATGGTCGGCCAGTATTTTGAGAGACGCAGGCTCCACATGTTCCCTGCTGGGGGGGGGGGAATGATGAGCGGTCGTGTGCACACGAGGCCCAGCAGCTCAGCAACGAGCTCCCGGCGATTTTCACAGTTTTGCAGTTCCCTGGCTGTGGTCATTTGAGTACGCATCAAACTAGGGTGACCCACAAGGGTAGCAATCCTTCCGGTTTCCCTTGAAGCAAACCTGAAAACGGTACCCTCAAACACACCAATTTCTTTGTTGCGGCTGGCTATAGCATCTATAGTGCAATGCCATCATTTAGCCCCGAGAGAGGAGAAAACGGATCCGAATCTGAACTGTACAAGCGGGAGGCGTCTTGAAAGGAAGAGCTCAATATCAGCTTGCAAAACGTTTGACATATTTAATATTATTAGCAGTGAGTTGCTCTTGTGTGCCTGATCTTGGGTCAAGATGGTCAGGGATTCCAGCTTTGAGCATCTTTGAGCATCTTGAGCTAGCCCTTGTTGCGCTCGCCAGACTGAGTGGTGGTTGCCGCGTTGCCGCCAAATGCATCATGTTTTTTTCTGTTGGAACGATGGAATGCCAGCGTATCGCTGGACAATAATTTTCCAGGTCCCCACGGACCCAATTTCAGTTGCGCCCGAGGTCATCCGCCTTCACTCCTGAGCCTTCCCAACCTCCCCGCCTGGGTTTTCTTAAAACACCCCGGAGGTGGCCCCCTTGCTGGGCTAACTTGAATATAGTAATATAGTAGGGCCATAGTTTGACCCGTTGCTTTCTTCAAACAAATTCTTGAAGGTGGGCGTCCAAAGAGATTGGGACCGCTGGGATTGTCCTTTCTGGTCTCAGTGTAAATCTACCAAAGGATCAAACAGTCACAGGAAATCTGGCGAGGGGCGCTGAGATCCTCATTAAAGTAGCACGAGGGACATTAGAGGCAAAATGGCAGTGACACACATATTGCAGTAGTCCATTCATCACCGCAACTGTTTGTGTTGAGCCAGTTGGTTTCAGAAGCGATGACCAAGTGGATCTCAGGATCTCCTTCTTCTCCGCCTTCTTGATCGAGCTCTGCATCCGTATGCTCGCCTTCCGTGGGAGCTTCTTCACCTCCTTCGTGACTCGGAGAAATCAATTGTTCGATGAGAGGGTGGTGGCAGCGCACAAGTTTTGATCTATTTTCCACAAGTGTTTGCTGGAGGCCGGGGGGACACCATGTGTCATGTCATGTCATGTGCTTCATTTGCGTCTCAAGGGCAAGTCTTGCTTGAGGGGCGGTCGGTCGTTTGACGAAGTTTTTGACTTGCCAAGCAATTCGATCCCATCTTCCTTTTTTTCGACGAGATATCGCCTGGAATCCCGACCCTTACTTGCCCCCAGCGGTCAAACCCCGGCTTAAAGAGGAAGGCGCCCGAAACGCGCCCGCAGGATGCCGGCTGGAATATTTTCGACACTAGCGTGGTCTTCTTCTCCGCTGTTGAGGCCATGAGAGAGACTGACGTTTTAAGTGTGCGAAAAGGTCATGTATAGATATAGACTATAGATATATAAATCTATATACACATATGTACATGACTGTTGGCAGCACATGCGATCTCTCCCCTTTTCAATCATGATCATGGCGATGATGCGTTGTGGGCCAGGACATGGCGACCATTCGCATCACATTTCTGGCTGCAATGCAACAACCTTTCCCCACAAGGAAAAGACACACGCAAGCCTCAGATATCCAAATCCGAATCCTGCTAGTTTCCCACATTTGGAGAAACACTTTTGGTTAGCATCATGCAGGGACTGACACATCCATTTGATGAAAAGAACTCTGTTTCTCCACCTGCTCCAGATCTTGGCCCCCCGGTTCTGGCACTTGCCAGGTGGTTGTGGCGTATGTCTTTGCGGACAACTCATTTCTGACCATAGCAGCTCGCTATGAATTATTAAGCAGCTCCGTTTGTTTGCCATTCTTTTTGGGGGCACCTTGTTGTTCTGGCTTGAAAGGGAAACTAAGGGGAAAACCACGGTTGTGGGGGCCCTCTATTTTAAGAAATGCAATTGGCTTCGTCCCCGCTGAAGCGCCGCGCGAACTCCTGTTCACAGGGCCTTGGTTGAGGTGAGGGACGAGACTGCAGCATCGAAACCATCGCAGGCAGACCCTCTTGTGTTTGTAGGCTCAGCCACAGTGAGTGGACAGTTGAGTGGCCAAACCAGATCTTTTTCCCCGTATGTCTCATGCATAGATCTTGCATGTGAATCATTGATGAGTGGCCCACCCCCGCTGCTTTTTGGAGCCATACTTCTTTTTGCAAAAGCGCAGTTTGTAGTGTTATTGACCTGATTGTTGCAGTTGCTGCCCTTTCAAGATTTCTACTCTGACCACCTCCCTCTACGCAGCATGCCGTAATAAAGGAACCATGCTGAACCCAACCTAGCTACTAGCTTGTTCGAAGCCTGTCCTCATCCCCCATCTTCACAAGCAGGCGCTTGTTCTTTCTGCCCGGGCAGAGTAGCAATCACCAAGCTGGGATCTCTGTTCGACACATATATCACAACCTGAAGCTTCACAAAATGGGTGTCTCAAAATCAGCCGGTCCCCTAAATGGTTGGTTTCCCTTTGGCGCTAGGATGCAGTTTGCTTCGAATGCAAGGGACGACTAAAACGGTGTCTGAGCAACGTGCACTTCACCAGGTCTGCGATACCACCATGGCAATACGTGAAGGGGTCAGTCGGTAGGCTGTGTATTATGTCTCATGCTTGCCGCCCATGGAGTTCTTTACCACAGTCCGTTCTTGGACCGGGGTCCGGCCCATGGCAAGCAGGAGGGAAGAAGAGAGAGAGGGTGCAGATAGTATGGTGGCAAGCCCTCGGGCGCTGCCGGTTGCCCCGCCCCTCAGAAGATCATGTTTGCAGTTTGGACCAGACCAAAGCAGCAGCAGATTCCAACATGATCGGCCACTCGTGGACTTTGCGGTACCCTCAGACTCAAATCGAGCTACTTTGTCTAGACTCAACTGGCGATAGGTCCTGGGTGAAGTGAGGAGCGTGGGGTTCACAGTCGGGAGCTGAGGTCCGAACGATCCGAGTAGCGCCTTGGACGTTGCCAAGCCGGTTGCTGATCAAACGACTCCGGGATGGCCCTCCCTTTTGGTGGAGAGTGAAGGACAGTTGTGGAGGCATCAATGCTTGACGTAGCCCATCATTTTCCTGCGTGACTCAGCCTTGGGTCGACAAGACAAGAACCATGAAGCCAGTCTTGAAGGACGACAATGCTTGATATGGACGGTGTACTATGTATGAAGCAAGTTGATTTGTAGACATGCCAACGACATCCGTTGTCTACTACTAGGCTAGTAACCTTTATCATGAAGGAAGTCGCTTTAAAGGCTTTAATGGTCAACAGGTAGAATAACAGCTTTAAGTTGCCTTAGACGTTCTGGCTTTTTCATAATGATGATTCCCGATGGTGAGCAAATCCAGTCAAATCAATCGCGAAATGCACTACTGAAGACTCCATCGGTCATGCCGCGGGCAATATCCAGAATTGTTTGACTGGGCGTATCAAACCAAAGGGCCGAATAGCCTCCATGCGGACATGCCGACAATAGCGTCCCTGGGTTCTGTTATCTCTTGCGATCAAATTGCCCACTTGCGATCAAATTGTCCACTTGCGATCAAGTTGCCCACCTTATTTATTCCATGTCTTTGCTGTTTGGCTCCTTTTCCCGAACAGCCAGGGGAAGGGTCTACTGTACGTGGACCTTCAAATGTCCATGGGGATCTACTCATGGACTTTCAGCCTGCCCGGTTCGGAGCTGGGAGTTGGATCGCCTGAGTATTGGTGCCCAGAGCTTGTGACTAGCTCAGCTTCAGCCTGTGAGCCTTTGAGCTTGGCTCAATGGCCACGACTCTCCGTCCCTGCAGACGACAGGAGCTTTTGACAGCTGCCCAAAGGAATCGGGAATGTTAGGAAGAACCTTTGTAATTGGTGGACGTGCGGGGCGGGTTAGGTAGGGATGCCATGTACCAAGCCCATAAACAGCAGATTTAAGCAAGACCCACTATCCTCACTCCCCGAGCTTCTGGACTTTAGTATTTCTTGGATGACCCGTCAGTTTGGTGGCAAACAACAAGTTCACACTTTCCGGCCGATCCACAGGAAGTAAGAAAAATTTTTACGTCCGAAATCAAGCGTCAAAGTCGCGCCTCTTGGCTGGATTTGTTGGGTGTCCCTTGGCAACAGGAAGGCATGGGCGTTGGTTCCAACAGGAAGATCCTCATTTTCTTTGGGCTAGACTTGGACACTTATCCTTAAACAGGATCCGCCCACAATGGTTCCACAGACAAACCTGTTCGCTTGGCGCAAACGCCGGAGCACATGGCCAGCTCTTCAGGTCCGCTTTGCTCGCATCATCCGCGTGGTGCGCTTCTTGCGGCAGCTGCGTGGCTTGGCGGAAGCCGTGTTCTGTGCTTTTTCGGCGCGAGGGCCAAGAAGAAGCTGCGAGAGTCAATGCCATAGCAAGGGCAGCCACAGGAGTTTATGGCCGTTGATATGCCCCAGTCACTGTTAGTCACACTGTTAGTCACCTGGTCACTGGGCAGCTTGGGCAAAGCGTATTTAGCTCTTCAGCTGCAGCCCATTATAATCAGGGAGGTTCCCCTTGCAGTGGAAAATGGGCTTGTTTGGGGTGATTTATATAAGATCCTCCCAATTTATCCGAACCTAACATATCCCGAAATTAAATCCTACCCTACGGGTGAGCCATCCTTGAGCTGCACGTTGAAACACGTGTTGGAGCTTCAATGTGTTAAGCAGGTCACCTCTGGCCCCCTCCATGACTGCAAGGGGATTTTTTGAAGGCTTAGATGCCGCTGTTACATGACACGTAGGAACAGGTGTTTCAATTCATGAGAGCTGCAAACAACAAACGCGCTGCCCTTTCTGCGTGTTTTGCCTTTTCAATTTGAACAAAGTGGAAAACTGCAGGCCATGCACGACGGCGCAAGGGCGAGCGCAGAACGCAGCAAACGCCAACCAATTCGAAGAATTCCCTAGAACAACCGGATATGTGCCACCGGGCAACCAGCTGGAGGAGGGCTCCCCAAGCTCAATTGCCAAGCCGACCTTTTGGATTTCGGTTCCAGTGCTCCAGGCTACCTCATGGTCCCAACAGCCTGCCTCTCTCTCTCAGTCCGGATCTATGCTCACTAGTGAGCTTCAGGGTGCACACAACAAAACCGCACTGGAGCCTACACCGGTCTATGGTGCAGAGGCAATGTGTGTTGCGAGCAGGTATGATTAATTATGCCTGCCTCAACCGTGGCAACATGCTTGAGTCTGGCTTCATTCGAGCGGCTGTCCTTGTGTTAGAAGACAGGGTTGTGGTGGCAAGCATTTTGTGGAGGGAGAATTGGCAGATCGCAGCTCCCAGCTACGAACGAGTCAATGGGAACCCCAGCATGGTAAACTCGCAGTTGTTCTATCATCGGTTCCCTTTGGAGATTGGTACATCGCCAACTCCAGGTTGACTCCTATTGTCGTCTGGAACGGAGATTAAGAGGATTGAAGAAACTCCGGTTAAACAATCAACTCTGCGTCAACTTGCACCCTTCAAAAGGAAACCGCAACTGAGGTTGGTAAAACATGTCAAATATGTAAACAGTAGTTTAGATATTTCAAGTGGCTAAGACATCCACGGCTTGGCCCAGCGGATATCCAGGTGTGATGGTCTACACGCTCTTCGGAACCTTCCCCAGCCTCTTTTGGAGCATGGCTTCTCGACAGATCCAGTGACGGGAGAACGGCTTTTTCCAGCCGCATGTTGGTTTAGACCCATGGACCATGTTTTGTTTGGTTTAAGAAGCTCATGGCCCAAAGAAGCCGCCTGGGGGGTCGAAAAAGCGGGTTCCGTTTGCTCAGAGGCCGAGCTGCTTTCGGCAAAACGGGCTTCGGTTTCCGGGGTTCCCTTCAAGCCCCGTCCAGGAACCATCCCCTGAAAAGAGGTAGCAGGGCCGAGTCTTCGCTCGCTGAGATTCTCATGAGTATTATCATGTACCTCTTCTCCACGATGATTACGCAAGCGGTGGCGGAGTTCCTGATGCTGAACCAAGGAACCGCAGAGGACGGAAGCTGCAAATGCCTTCGTAAGAGTTCCTGCATTTCGCTCCTTTTTTGGTGGCCAGGGTCAGCTTAAAGTAATCTTCCTTTCAAGGGGTGATGTTTATACAACGGAAAGCATATCTGAACACATAGGACGGGGTTGGCTTCGTCCATGATCTATCTCTTTCCCATTTCCCTTGCTCTACCTGTGGCTGGGAAGTTATGGCCCTTTCCCTCCTCTCTTTCACCCACTAGGAGGTAGGAATGGCGGTTGGAGGAGTGTGAAGGAGTCAACCGCCGTCTCTCTCCGCTTTCCTCATTTGCTTCCTTGTCCACGAATCAAACCTGCAAATGTGACAAGATAGAGACACTCCTTCCATCTCCATCTCTCATTCTGTCACCCAACTCTCACCAATAGAAAAAGAAAAAATGTGCGAACCGCTCAAGCTCCATCTTCAAACGATTCTACAAAATGAGATAAGGAATGGAGAAGAGAGAGTGAGACAGACCAAGGGCTGGGACAACCATAAAGCCTTGGAATTTGGACCAGCTCTAGTTGTCTCTTCCTGTGTTTACCTTTACTTTAGTGATTCCAAATGAAACAAATAATCAGACAGATATATACAAAGATGTAACAGGTAAACAGTGAAGAAAGGAATGGCTCTCTTTCTCATTTTTCTTTTTTGCTCCATGCATGTATATATATATATATATATGTACGCATTAACCTGTCCATTGATTATTATTAGCAGAGGGAAGGAGCATGAGAGGGATGGAAAGAGAGGGGATGGATCCATTCGCTCACATTCCGCTGCGGCGAAGATCCAGAGATAGCGAGTGGATATGTCCTACCCCTCTTTTACCTTCACACCTCTCCTTCCTACCCTGTCACCCAGTAAGCCCCAGGTGTGCTTGTTTTAGCAGTTTCTTCTTCGTAATGCATACCATCTCCTCTAGCTTCTTCATACAATAGGTTAGTTTTAGCATATTACAGAAGTCTTATGGTTGTTTATTTTTCTAGTACTTTATTCTGTTTGCTATCATGCTAAACATATGAACAAGCAGAAGATGATCGATTGCTGCGAAAGACCTAGGCAGCTGATCTGACCTGAAATCGATTCTGAGTCTGTCCACCTCTTTCGTTAATTTTATCACTGCTATATTTGGCACGAGGATGCGCTGCTTGCACCAGGACCAAAGTCGCATGCGCCAAGTCTTTGGCTCCACAGCCCGAACGGCACCTTGGCGCGAAGTTCGCCCGTGGGGCAATCTGGAGATTTCCATGGGTTTCGAGCTCACTGCTGCGGGGGGTAAAACGAACGAAGGCCATGATGTAGGTCCTTTGCTTGGGGGTCTTTTACTTCAGGTTTTAAAATGGTAACGTTTGCAGGTCGGAGTCTGATGGAGGTGCAGGAGCTTGTGGATCATTGCGCTAGCAAGATGGGAGACAGGAAGTAGACGGTGATCTTCAGACGTTTGCCCTCGGGAGAGAGAAGGGGAGATAGAGAGAGAGAGAGAGAGAGAGAGCGAGAGAGAGAAAGGAATTCGGTTTGCCAAATGTTGTTTGGCGGTCAGTTTGGTGTCAGGCATGTACCTCGAACAAAGGGACCCGGGCTTTCTGGGAAATGTATGGGGAGTCGAGAGGGAAGCCCACTTTGTTCAACCAGCAGGGAAGGCCAATTTTGAAAGCTGAGGCCTACTTTCTCTTCCAGTCCGTGTCCGGCGGCACCAACTGGGCCAGGGACGTGGAGCTTCTCTTCAACTTGGAGCCCCTTGGTCCGCGACACGAACTCCGCAGGGCACCAGTCGGTGTTTATTCCGATCGGACTGATTCATTCTAGTTCCTGATTTTGTCTGTCCACGGTAAGGCAGTATACTGAGCAAGTAGGGACAGGTTGTGGACGCATGGGCCAAATTACCCAGTGGCAGCAACACGCTTGTAGCTATTTCCCATACAACATAAGTTTCATTTCAATGCTCACGGGGTTACATATGTGGTTGGACCGTTTGGTGTTTACATGCAGCCCTACGCAAGCACAAACCAAACGAGTTGTGGTTGGATGTTCCAAGCATTGCGCAGGCCTATGTGTGAGCGGCATTTCGCATGTCTCCATCCCCCAATGAACGTCACAGCTTGGTGTACATCGGCAATTGTGCATGGCGTGTTTTGTCCCCAGGGTTCCTGAAGTTGCTGGAGTCATGGGGGAGCTGGGCAGGGTGGGAGGGGAGGGGGAGGGAGCCCAAATAAGCCCTAAATAAGGCCTGAATAAGGGCTTATTTGGGCTCCCTCCCCCTCCCCTCCCTCCCCCCCCAGCTCCCCCATGATGGAGGGTTGCTAAAGCGCCATGCCTGCAGCCAGCCCCGAATTCATGGTCCTCACGGAGGGCCTGTGAGGTGAAAGGATGTCAAAGGTGAGCTGAGAGCACAGGGGGGGAGTCATCAAAAGCTGACACTGGCAAATCGATCCTCGATTCACGCATACCTCTTGGCTGCTATGTTTGCCAGTTTCCCACCAAGGTAGGAATAATCCTTGAGAATGAATAGACGAACCTCCTGGCAGATTCACCAGGGGCTTAGCAGAGCCGCGAGTTTTCGCCTGACAAACAAAACACCCAAAGTATGTTCTCGCTTGGATCCTGAGGATCATCTACGCAACTCAGACAGCACTGTGTGAAGATGGCTGACTTGAGGGCGCGTGAAGAAAAGTGAGGGGCATGGAGATAGGAGAAGTTTACTGGAGCCCGTTCTGGGAGAGCAAATCGGCAGCTGTTCTGACAGCTTCTTCGTTCAGCAGCCAGGTTTTGAGTTCTTGCGCCAGGGTTGTCAGAGTGGCTACAAACAGATTCGACTTCCTTTCCGTGCGTTGCCCGGCGTGGAACTTGTCGCTTCTGCCTCTGCATTGCGAAGTTTTTGTTTGTCCAACAAGCCATGGTCGTTTTACGCCATCGCAAGCGCATGGTATGTCATGAATGCACGGGTGTATTTGGGCCTGCGCTGCTCCCAGTGCTCATTCAACACGCCTCCCTTCCAAAAGCGTGCCAAAGCATGTACCACTGCGCCAAGATC